TGGGGGGGGGGGGACGACAAGTTGGTTATGGGATAAGAAAGTACCCCCCCAGCACAAACACACAGCCGCAGATTGGGACTGGGCAGGGAGGGGGGCCCTAGGCAGAGAGATGGCGGACATGGGCGCGGGGGGAAGGGAACAGAAGCCAAGATTCCTCCCCCCGCCCCCGAGAACGGCAGAGCGGGGGAGAGAAATAAGAAACCACCACCCCACCGCTCAAGTGGCACATGGGGGGCAGGAGAGACACAAGAGAGACACCCCCCCACACTAAAATGGCAGCCCCTCCCCAGAACGCTGGGTGATGGAGGGAACGGGCGGAACATCACAGGCAACGCAGCCCCTTAACTCTGCCCCAAGGAGGGGACTGTTTGGATCCCAGCTATCCCCCTGCCGGACACCCCTGGTACCTCTGGCAGGTAGGCAGGGGAGCGGCGCTGGGAATTCTGGGTACCCAGAAGGCAATGCAGCAGCAAAGCCCCCACACACACAGGGCTGAACGTGACGCATGTCAATTCCAGCCGGGAAGGCTCCTTGGAGTCCAGTGCTCTTAAAAAGGCCTCCCCCCCAGACTGGGATCCCCAAGGTCTCTCGTTCCCACTCCTGTCCCCACACCCGGAGGGGGGGTACGGTCGGCTCTCAGCCACGCGTGATAGCCGCCCCCCTCCCCCCACCTCTCTACCTGCCACTTCTTGACGTTCCCCCACAAATACTTGAACTCCTCGAAGCCCAGCTTCCCGGTCGTGTCGCTCTGAAGCGCTCGAGGTCAAGGAACAAAGACGTCGGCCAAAGCCACCCGGGGCCCCGCCAAGCCGCAGGGAGGGGATCCGGCAGCACAGGGGCCTTCAACATGGGTGGAAACGGCCCCCCGAGACTCTCACCTGTGCAGGGGATCTCCCCAGCCAGCGTGGAGCTGGGCATACGGAGCAAAGCACAGGGGGCGGATCGGGGGTGTGGCCAGAGCGCACTGCCCTGTGGCTATTCCCTGCCCCCCAGAGCCCATAGGGGGTGAAGTGTGAGTTAGGGCAGCCCGGAGACTGATAGCAGGGGCTGGGCAGGGCCTAGAATATAGTGAGAGCAAAGGGGGCTTAAAGCCCCCACCGCCCATCCCTGCCCCAGGCACAGGGGGCGCGGGAGCTGTGAATCAGGCCTTGGTATCTTTAAAGGCTCCTGGGCTCGGACGTCAGTTTAGGAGGAGGATACATCCATGACGGCCACCATGCTGCGACAGGTGTCAATCCCGAACCCGTCCGTCTTCAGGTCGGGATCTGGAAGGCAAGAGAGCAGGTTCGGGCAATGACGCGGGAGGCGTACATACGACAGGGCTCCAGGCCCAGGAGCTCTGCACGGCATCGACGCTACTGCCTCTGGGGTGTGGAGTCCAGTGCCAGGCAGCTCAATGCCATGGAGATACCAGAAGTTCAGCATCGTCCCCCATTGCTCAGAGAGGGCGGCCGGCTAGCTCAGACACCAGATATGGGCTGGAGGCAGGACACTCTGGCCCGCGTTATACAGGGCAGGCGAGATGATCACAAAATTCCCTTAAAACCGATGAATCTAGGAAACCAAAGCATGGACAGCAGCTCGCCTGAGGTCACACCCCGAGCCAGCCAGGAATGGAACCCAGGAGTCCTGGCATTCCCTAGGTCCCCTGTAGCATCAGGACGGACAGTTACCAAGCACCACAGGACAGCAGTGCTCTGGGAGGCAGGGTCCAGCCAGCCCGGACCTTTTAACCATTTCGTAAATGAATCAACCGACGCGGGGTTTGATTTAAACGGACCGCGGGCCCCACTTACGTCTGGTCACCACCTTGTTGAGAATGTTCATCAGCTCAGTGGCGCTCACTTCCATATCCTGTCACAAAGCACAGAAACAAGGGGGACGTCACAGCGGGCTGGAGTAACGCTCGCCCTGCCTGGTCTCTCTGGAGCACGTCGACCCGCAGGGAGCCACCTCCCGGCTGCTCCTGGATGGAGGCGGCCGCCCCCTTGGACCCATTCCTCACCCCATAACTAGGGCCCTACCAAATTCACGGTCCATTTTGGTCAATTTCACGGTCATAGGATTTTAAAAAATTGTAAATTTCATTATTTCAATCTGAAATTTCACGGGGCTGAAATTATAGGAGTCCTGACCCAAAAAGGAGTTGTGTGTGTGTGTTGGGGGGGGGGGGGTCACGAGGTTATTGTAGGGGGGGTTGCCATACTGCTACCCTTACTTCTATGCTGCTGTTGCTGGGGGGGGGGGGGGCGGCTGGGCACCCGGCCAGCAGCTGCCGATCTCCAGCTGCCCAGCTCTGAAGGCAGCGCAGAAGTAAGGGTGACAACACCACACACTCCAAAAATAACCTTGCGACCCCCCTGCAACTCCCTTTTGGGTCAGGAGCCCCAATTTGAGAAACGCTGGTCTCCCCCGTGACATCTGTATAGTACAGGGTAAAAGCACACAAAAGACCAGATTTCACAGGGGGAGACCAGATTTCACGGCCCGTGACACGTTTTTCATGGCCGTGAATTTGGTAGGGCCCCACCCATAACTCAACTAGAGTCCCATGCTGCAAAGGATTCTGGGCAGGGCTATCTACAGAGAGGAAAGGTCACAGGGCAACCAGAGGCCTTTGCTTCTGGGGCCTGACTTGCAAAGCAGTTGTGAATTGGCTGAGAATCAGTCCCGAGGAGGGCCTGGGTGAAAATTTTGGCCCGGGGAGATGCCCTCAGGGCTGGGCCGGGGCCCCTTTCTGATGGATACAAAGAGAGAGGACGGCAAAATACTTACATCTCCAGCCAGCTGCGTGAAGAGGCGCCGAAACTGGCGTACTTCCTCACTCTCGTTAGCTTCCACGTTGGAGAAGTGGCTGCGAGGGGGCTGGGGGGGTGGGGGGGGGCAGAAAGAAACGGAAAGTTACAAAATATAAATAGCCAGGGTGGGTTAAACATAGATCCATGTCTCTCCACTAACCCAAAGGGTCACCCACCGGCAGGTGCAGATGCCTTAGCAAAAAACGTTTAAGCATCTGAAACGGAGACCTAGTCCAAGAGGAGGGGATACCTGGGAACCCTGCTCTTGTTTGGATAGATAAGGAAAGCAGGAGACGTTCGGCTCGTTGCAAGGCGGGTTTGGATAATTTATAAGCAGGTTGGGGGGGGGATTGTTAGCAGAAAGCGTTTTCTCCCAAGAGTGCCTTGAGCTAAAGAGGGCTGGACAGGGACAACCCCCAAAGGGCCAGATACTCAGATGGTGTAAATCAGGAACAAGACAGGCTTCCCGGTGGGGTAAATGGGTGTCACTCCACTGGTGTCAGATCCCCAGCTGGTGTAAACGGGTGTCACTCCATTGGAGTCAATGGGGCCAGGGCACACCCGCATTATTCCATTGACCTCAAGAGAACCAGTTTACCCCACCAGAGGAGAATCTGGCTCCAGGAGAGACAATCCGAATTAATAAAAGCCACTTTCCCCTCCCTTTCCAGTCAGTGAGATTTTCTTTGCAGGGCACGATCCAGTGCTCCAGTCATCCACGGCGTCCTCCAGGACAAACAGGGAAAAGGCGACCTGAATTTCTAACGTACGACATGCCACCTTGGGCTGTCTTTGTCTCCATAAGCAAGCAGCCAAGGACATGAGGCCCATTTACTTCTCTTTGCAAATCACTTTAAAAAACAAAGCAAATCGCAGAACACTTCCTGGTGGGCAGACGCCTGCATTCACGCGGCTTACTCCCACCAAGGCAATGGGGCTCCGTGCCAGAGAACCCTCCCCCACACGCCTGGCTACAAACTCAGCACGTACAGGGCCCATGTTAGGAGCTGACAGGAGTCTCATAGACTCTAAGGTCAGAAGGGACCATTATGATCATCTAGTCTGACCTCCCGCATGATGCAGGCCACAAAAGCTACCCACCCACTCCCGGAAGAATTCTCTTCCTTGACTCTGCTGTTGAAGTCCCCAAATCATGATTTAGAGACTTCAAATCACTGAGAATCCTCCAGCAAGCGACCCCCGCCCCATGCTGCGGAGGAAGGCGAAAAACCTCCAGGGCCTCTGCCAATCTACCCTGGAGGAAAATTCCTTCCCGACCCCAAATATGGCGATCAGCTGAACCCCGAGCATGCGGGCAAGATTCTCCAGCCAGACCCTCTGGAAAAAGTTCTCTGTAGTAACTTTTAATATCCCATCATTGACCATTGTTACTAATTACCAGCGATGGCACGTTATTGACTTATTGACTAAAATCACTTTATCCCATCAAACCATCCCCTCCATAAACTTATCAAGCTTAATCTTAAAGCCAGAGAGGTCTTTCGCCCCCACTGTTTCCCTCGGAAGGCTGTTCCAAAACTTCACCCCTCTGATGGTTAGAAACCTTCGTCTAATTTCAAGCCTAAACTTCCCCATGGCCAGTTTATATCCATTCGTTCTCGTGTCCACATTGGTACTGAGCTTAAATAATTCCTCTCCCTCCCTGGTATTTATCCCTCTGATATATTTAAAGAGAGCAATCATATCCCCCCTCAGCCTTCTTTTGGTTAGGGTAAACAAACCGAGCTCCTCAAGTCTCCTTTCATACGACAGATTTTCCATTCCTCGGATCATCCTAGTGGCCCTTCTTTGTACCCGTTCCAGTTTGAGTTCATCCTTTTTAAACATGGGAGACCAGAACTGCACACAGTACTCCAAATGAGGTCTCACCAGTGCCTTGTATAACGGAACCAGCACCTCCTTATCCCTACTAGAAATACCTCGCCTAATGCATCCCAAGACCGCATTAGCTTTTTTCACGGCCACGTCACATTGCCGACTCATAGAAATCCTGCGATCAGCCAGGACTCCGAGGTCCTTCTCCTCTTCCGTTACTTCCAACTGATGCGTCCCCAGCTTATAACTAAAATTCCTGTCGTTAGAACCGGCACAGACAGGGCTATAACAGGAGAGCTGTGATCAGGACTTACCGGTGGCTCCGGATTATACTGAGCTGCTGCTTCGCTGTGACACAGAGGGGGAAAGAAAGAGGAAACCGTTACGAAGGGTCTTTTATAAACACACAAGTTATTATCTATTTGCATTATGGCAGCATCATCAAAGAGCAGGGCCCCGTCGGGCCGGGCGCCGCGCAGACCCCGGCCGAGAGCGGGGCCCCGTCGGGCCGGGCACCGCCCAGACCCCGGCTGAGAGCGGGGCCCCGTCGGGCCGGGCGCCGCCCAGACCCCGGCCGAGAGCAGGGCCCCGTCGCGCCGGGCAGACCCCAACCGAGACCAGGGCCCCGTCGCGCCGGGCGCCGCGCAGAACCTGACCGAGACAGTACCTGCTCCCAAGAGCTTCCAATTTGCATAGACAAGGGAATAGTTATTATTCCCATTTTACAGATGGGGATACGGAGGCCCAGAGAGATGCAGTGATTTGCCCAAGATCACACAGGGAGCCCAGTGGTGGAGCCAGGCATTGAATCCAGATCCCCCGAGTCCCAGTCCAGTTCCTTAATATTTAATGTATTTAATATTTCGAGTGCTATAGAAGAGAGGTGGCTGAGGCCAAAAGCGTCCCGGAAGTGAAGATACGGCTGTGGTCAAGTGAAACAATGCACCTGAAAGATGTAACAGGAATCACCTTTTAGTTGTGTGTCTGGACAGTGCCTGGCACCATGGGGTCTTGGCCCACTCCTGGGGTTCCTAGGGTGCCACCATAATACATGTAAGAGCACCTCCCTGCTATACAGAGGGGGAAACTGAGGCACAGAGCCACATCCAGGCTTTCACAGAGACAACAGCAGAGCTAGGAACAGAACTTAGGGCTCCTATCTCCCAGTCCAGTGCTCTAGCCACTAGACCACGCTGCCTCCCCTACACACAATACATGGCATGATAAACTGCAGAACCACTTTCTAATTTAGAGGTAGATCCCTGTATAAACAGCTGCCACACCCCACCCCCAGAGGCGGCTGCATTTCAGTGCTGGGTGAGGGATCCCTGTATACACAGCTGCCACACCCCACCCCCAGAGGCGGCTGCATTTCAGTGCTGGGTGAGGGATCCCTGCATATATGGTTTGCCAGGCGCTATGTATGGAAAGCGCTGGGGGAATATCAGTGATGAGAGAAGAGCCCAGCATCGGGGAAGAACCGAGGCGGGGCAGAGAAAACAGGGACTCTCCCCTGCGCTCATCTAGGGGCACGGGCAGGGTTTTCCTGGGGCCTGTGCCTCTAGCTAGTTCCCCCTATGTGGACAAACCAGTCTGACCGAAAACCGAAGCAAGGCAGAGCCGCCCAGCCAGCCCTAATCCCCAGCCCTCCACCCCCCCCCGCAATCAATAGGCCAGGGCACCGCATTCAAAGCAACACCTCCTAGCCAAGGAGAATCCACTTCCCCCAAGAGGCCACGGGATTCTGGGGTTCAAGCCCGACCAGTAAGGGGATGGGTCACTGCCTGCCCTGTGCCTTCAATGCCCTGGCTTTACCCAGCCTGCAGGCTGAAACCAGGACCACTCCAGCCCCGAAATCGCCCTGGAGGGCCCCCACCGAGAAAGCAACAGGTCCTCTGCCTCTCCTCCATCCCAACAAGCAGACACTCCACAGAGCTCGATCAGCGGCTGGTGATTTAGAGATGAAAGCCAAGCGAGTTGATTCACAAAGGCCCGTGGCTCAAGTGATGCCAAGTAACAGGGAGAAAGGCCGAGACGGGAATTAAAGGGGAAACGAGCAAGACACAATCTTTGTTCAAGACGCCTCTACTCGCCCACTCTCCTGTCCAGCTCTGTGACAGAGATCCAAGTGTTCAGATCCGTTGTCTCGGCCTGCCAGCACCTCGCCCAGCCTGGGTGAACCCCAAAACACCACACGCTCCTCTGGTGCCCCGGCACCAACAGATCCCAGAAGGATCTGGGATACGTTCCCAGAGAGTAGTGACCAGTGATTCGCAATCATGCTGGAAGGGCATAACGAGTGGGGTCCCGCAGGGATCAGTCCTGGGTCCCGTTCTGATCAATATCTTCATCAGTGAGTTAGATAATGGCAGAGCGAGGACACTTATCAAGTTTGCAGACGATACCAAGCTGGGAGGGGTTGCAAGTGCTTTGGAGGAGAGGATTATAATCCAGAAACCGGAAAGATGCTCTGAAGTAAATAGGATGAAATTCAACAAGGACAAATGCAAAGTACTCCACTTAGAAAGGAACAATCAGTTGCACGCATACACAATGGGAAAGGACAGCCTAGGAAGGAGTACTGCGGAAAGGGGTCTGGGGGTCAGAGTGGACCACAAGCTAAATATGAGTGAACAGTGTCACCCTGTTGCAAAAAAGAAAGTGAACATCATTCTGGGCTGTATTAGCAGGCATGTTGTAAGCAAGACACGAGAAGTAATTCTTCCACTCTACTCCGCGCTGAGTAGGTCTCAGCTGGAGTATTGTGTCCCGTTCTGGGCGCCGCATTTTGGGAAAAATGTGGTGAAACTGGAGCAAGTCCAGAGGAGAGCGTGAACACGGACGCAACCAATAAACGGGCCCCTACAGCAAAGAACAATATCGGCAGGGACACAGGCAGCCTCTTTAGGACCTGGCTAGGGAGCCTTTCACCCACAGGTTCACCGGTTCGAATCTGGCCTGGCTGAAAATTGTTACACTCCCCACTCCGGATGGCTGTATGGTGGCCCCTGCCTGTAATGAATTCGGGAGGTCTCAGTCCAGTTCCTAGCGAGATCTATGCCCCTGGCACATAACCCACTACCCTACCTGGCCACTCAACAGCCACCAGGGCGGACCTCTCCTCTCCTCTCACCCTCTAAAGCGGGTCCCTCCGGGTTGGGGCAGGGCACAGCAGCTGGGAATGAGAGACCGACCCAGCCACTGCCCTGCTGGGTGACTTCGGGCACGTCACCTACTGGGCCTCAGTTTCCCCGTCTGTAAAATGGGGATCATGACATGTAAAAGGTTGTTATAAAGAGGACAGTGATTCTTCACATCCATTGGAGGCAAGGACAAGAAGGGATTGGCTTAACTGGCAGGAAGGGAGATTTAGGTGAGGTATTAGGAAAAACTTTCTAACTCTCGGGGGAGTTCGGCTCTGGAACAGGCGATCAAGGGAGGTTGTGGGATCCCCACTGTTGGAGGTTTTTAAGAGCAGGCTGGAAAAACCCCTCTCAGGCATGGTCTAGGTTTACTTGGCCCTGCCACAGTGCTGCGGGGGGAAGAGGTGTGGACTAGGTGATCTCTTGAGGTCCCTTCCAGTCCGACAGCTCTGTGATTCTGCCCTCCTGTAGCGCTTTGAGAGCTACAGATGAAAAATGCTAGACAAGAGCGAAGTATTAGTATTACCGCCCTGCAGATCCAGCCATTCAAGCCAGCACCTTCGGCCAGCAAACAGGACAACATCAATTAAGGAGCCTGTCTGGGGTTTCTTCTCCCACTATTGGAGACTGGCACAATCAAACTCATCCCACTGTCCTTGATCCAAAGGCACTCCCCCCTGCCTCCCCCGCAATTCGATCCGAGAAAAGAACCCAGGAGTCCTAGTGCTCAGACCCTTGCTCTCAAGTTGTCCAAAGTCTACAAGGAGGAAAAGATGCACATTGATCTCTCTGGGCCTCAGTTCCTCCATCTAGAAAATGGGGTAATGAGCCTTCCTTCTTCGGTCTTATCTATTGAAATGGCAAAGGCTGTCTCTTAAAGTGTGTCTGGGCAGCGCCCGGTGCGATGGGGCCCTGATCTCTGTCATTGTGTGTCTGGGCAGCGCCTGGCGCGTCGGGGCCCTGATCTTGGTCACTGTGAGTCTGGGCAGTGCCCGGCCCGACGGGGCCCCGATCTCGGTCACTGTGTGTCTGGGCAGCGCCCGGCCCGACGGGGCCCTGATCTTGGTCACTGTGTGTCTGGGCAGCGCCTGGCGCGACGGGGCCCCAATCTCGGTCACTGTGTATCTGGGCAGCACCCGGCCCGACGGGGCCCTGATCTCGGTCACTGTGTGTCTGGGCAGCGCCCGGTGCGACGGGGCCCTGATCTCTGTCATGGAGCCCTGGCAATACCAATAACAACAACGACAAGGCTACGTACGAACCTGATGGCATTGATCACTCCTCCAATGATGCCCATGGCTCCGCCACCGCCTCCCCCACCTCCAGCCCGTCCTCCTCCACCGCCGCCACTCAGGAATCCTCCGATCACATTCCCAATGTTCCCTCCGAAGCCTCCACCTCCGCCTCCTCCTCCCCCTCCTCCTCCTCCTCCAAGGAAGTTCTTGACCAGGAACATCGGGGCGGTTTCCTAGCTGGGGGAAGAACTGCGAAAAGATGGGCTGGAAAGAAAACAGACAAAGGGCTGGTCAGTTTCACTCTCCCTCAACCCACTGGTGGGCCTGCAATGGCCTTGGTCTACAAAGCGCTGCCCCCCCCTTTCCCCTTGGGGAGACGACGTCTCTCTCAGGCAGGTTTTCAGCACAGACGCTTTGCTCAGGAGTAACTGCCCCCTCCGCCCCACACACAGTGTTTGCTCAGGGTACCTCGCCGCAGAAGCTGCTCATAGGTGGGGAAGCAGGATGCTGTGGGAAGCGGCTGGCACAAGCGCCTGGTTAGTTAGGCGCACTCCCGGACAATGTCAGGGCCCAAACCTGCAGGGGACCGGTGCCCTCTAGCTCCTGGAGGGGTAGGGCCCCAGCACCTGGCAGGATCTGGATTGGGTGTTGCCAAATCAGGGAATCAAACTGGAGATTAACCACTGGAATCTGGTGCCGTGCTTTTGCAGATAGACAGCGCGCTGGGAGGGAAGCAGGGTCTAGTAGTTAGAGTGGAGGGGACTCCTGGGTTCTAATCTCAGCTCTGGAAGGGAGCGGGGGGGGCTGGTGGCCAGGACTCCTGGGTTCTACTCTCAGCTCTGGAAGGGGAGCAGAGGGGGCTGGGAGCCAGGACTCCTGGGTTCTAATCTCAGCTCTGGAAGGGGAGCAGAGGGGACTGGGAGCCAGGACTCCTGGGTTCTAATCTCAGCTCTGGAAGGGAGCAGGGGGGGCTGGTGGCCAGGCTTCTCACATTCTATTCCAAGTTGTGGGCAGGGAGCAGGGACTAGTGGTTAGAGCGGGGAGGACAGGGGCTAGGAGCCCGGACTCCTGGGTTCTAACCCCAGCTCTGGAAGGGGAGCATGGGGGCTGGGAAGCCAGGACTCTCACGGGGGAGTGGAATCTAGTGGTAAGAGCAGCAGAGCTGGGAGCCAGGACTCCTGGGTTCTAGCCCCAGCTCTGAAAACACTTCAAAGTCCCCAGCTTTGAGAAAAACTTTTCCACCGTCAGGCTGAGATGGACAACGCCTGCGACCCAACGAACCCCAGCCAACCCACCGCACAGAAACAAAACGAGCAAGAAAGAGGTGAAATTAATAAAAAACAGCAAAACAAAATCCCCAAATCCCTACCCCAGGCAGGATTTTTTCCCCCAAAAAGGGAGACACAGCAGAGACTCTATGAAATCCACAGGGGATTTTGCTAGTGGAAAAAGCCCGGATACAACGCTGATGGGCAACAATACAAATGACAGAACTCTGGAATCTCTCTCTCTCTGTACATCTGTTCTGAGCTCTGGGAGAGGAACGCAGTCAGCTCAGAGAGGACTGATGGGCAGTTTGGGGGGAGGGGTCAGGACTCCTGGGTTCTATCCCCAGTTCTGGCAGTGGGATGTAGTCTAGCACAGAGCCCTGACCCGAACCCGACAGGACCAACTACAAGCGTTGGGTCTGTGTCAGGTGGGAAAACTGTGCCCCTCACTCCACAGGACGCAGCAGCGGGCAGTAGACGGCCGGGGCAGGACACGCAGCCGCCGCTGTGCCAACCCCACGGGCAGGAGGTGCCAGTGGCACGGCCACTGGTTTGGGGAGAAGGGTCGGGTCAGAAAATGACTCCATCGGCTCAGGTTTGGGTCTGGGGCGGACCTAAAAATTAAGCACAAGCAACCCCTAGTCTAGAAGTTGGATTGGGAGAGACTGGAAGTCAGGCCTCCCAGCTCTGCCACTAACTTCCCGTGTGATCTCAGGCCAGTCACGCCCTCGTTCCGTGCCTCAGTTTCCCCTGCTGTGAAACGGGGAAAGCACCCGCCATAAACACCTAGCGGGACCACCAGGGTTCATTTAAAAACCGGCCGGTGCTGCCGAGGGACACAGAAGAACTTTGTTTCGTTAGCGACTGTTTTCCCTCGTCTCTTTTCAGCGGGCGAAACCGCCAGCCAGTTTCAGCGGAGCGGGTAGATCTTTGGACGATTTAATGCCGGCGCTGCAGGAACTGCGGCGCCCAGACGATGCAAATCGGAGAACACTGGGGCATTGTCTACGCCTACGGGGCATTTATAAACGGGGCGGGGAGAAGAAAGGTGACTGGGCTGAACTGGCCCCATGTCAGCTGCCCACTAAACGCATCTGCTGACTTGCCCCGGGGCAGTCGGGGAGAACAAGCCGGATTCTATCGCGCTTTGAGGCACGAGATGTAGGATCCCCAGCAAAGCCCCAGCGGATTCCCGTGGCTTGATTTGCAGGCCAATGCGATCTGCCTGGGCCCCCGTAGGGTCTCTGCCAAGACAGCTTTAGCACGCGACACCCCGAGGCCAGTCTAGCTCACAGGACAAGCGGGGTACGACAGTAAAAGCCATATGGACTCAGCTACCCACCTTTCTCTCCGTTTAATCGAGTGCGGTGGGGGAATAAAACAGGAGTCCTGGCTGCTCTAACCACTAGACCCCACTCCCCTCCCAGAGTTGGGAACAGAACCCAGGAGTCCTGGCTCCCAGCCCCCCTGCTCTAACCACTAAACCTCACTCCCCTCCCCTCCCCTCCCCTCTCAGAGTTGGGAACAGAACCCAGGAGTCCTGGCTCCCAGCCTTGCTGTTCTAACCACTAAACCCCACTCCCCTTCCACCTGTAAAGAGAACCTGGGAGTCCTGGCTCCCAGCCCCCCTGCTCTAACCACTAAACCCCACTCCCCTTCCACCTGTAAAGAGAACCCGGGAGTCCTGGCTCCCATCCCCCCTGCTCTAACCACCAGACCCCACTGCCTGCACTCTGCGCCTGAGACCCCCTGAACAGAACCCAGAAGCTATGAGGCCTCGATCCATCCTCCGGGCCGCACAAAAGCGAGCGGAGCGCCCCAGAGCTGGAACTGCAGCTGCCCGGGGGCAGGCAAGCTGGGGGCAGGCGTCAGCTGGGGAAAGGAGCAGATGCTAGAGCCGCGAGGCCTCTGGGCACCAGGCCAGAAGCCTGGGGGGAAGAGAGAGACAATGGGGCGTTGTCTCCACAGGAGCAGCTGGGGGGGGTGGGTGAGGAAGGTTAGTGGGGGGGACATGAGCTGGGTCAGAGGAGACACACAAACACACATGGTCCCCGTGGGGGAGAGGTATCCGTGTTCCCCGGGGTGAGAGGAGTCCAGTATAAAGGGGGTCAAGAGATCCCTGTGGGGAAAGGAATCCAGTGTAGGGAGGAAGCAAGCGATTCCCTGAAATCCAGGTGGAGGAGAAGAAATCCAGTGTAAAGGTTGGCAAGAAATCGCCCCCAAAAGAAGGATCCCAGGAGGAGGGATGGTGGTACGGTGATCCAGCGTAAAGAGGTGGACGTTGTTCCCGGGGCGGGGGAGGAATCCAGTGGGTGGCGGGAGAAGGGGAAGAGAGAATCTAGTCCTAAGAGGATCCCCCTAGAGCAGGGGTTCTCCACCAGGCGTACGCATACCCCTGGGGTCCATCAACTCCGCCTCGTTTTACAACAGGCTGCATAAGAAGCACTACCGAGGCCAGGACAAACTAAAATTTCAGACCGCCCATGACTCGTGTAGACGACCCACCGAAACGGAAGTACAATATTGATATTCCGATGGATTGCTTTTAGAAGGCTCTGGTCAAAAGGAGACTGTCAGCCACTCGTCAGGGCTAGCGCGCTGGGACACTTTGGTCTTTTGAGGTCTGGTTTGGCAAGCAAGTCGGTCTTAAGCGAGGGGCAATTTGGGGGTGCGCGAGAGTCGCGAAAGGGGGACAGTCGTCTGGACAGGTTGAGAGCCGCTGCCCTAGAGATCCTAGGGGAGGAATCCAAAGAGAGCAGAAAGTTGGAGGGGCAAAGGGATGGAGTGGGAGGGGAGAAAGGGCCCCAGCGTAGGAGTGGAGGGTAGATTTCAAGGGATCTAATGGGGCAAAGGGATTTAGAATCTTGTTATAGAGGGAGGAACCCAGAGGGACACATCTTCAGGGAAGGAAGAAGGATAGAGAGGATGGAGGAGGGAAGGAATTTGAGCCCCACGGGGATCCAATGTGTGAAGAGCTGAAATCTCCAGGGAAGAAAATAGGGGATCCAGAGGGAGGGGATCAGAGACCCCCCAGGGGAAAGGGCAGGGATCCAATGTGGGGGGATTCAAAAGGGAATCCCGGGGAAGAAAAGGGAGGTGATCCAGTGTGCATGGGGGCAGGAGGGGAACCCCCAGGGGAAAGGAGGGGATCCCATGTACACAGGGAATCCCCAGGGAAGAAGAGATCCAATCCACATGGGGGACCAGACGGGGATCCCAGAGGAAAGGGGATGGGATCCAGTGTGGAGGGGGGAATCCCAGGGAAGGGAGAAGATCCCCAGTGCATGGGGATCAGAAGGGGGATCCCCATAGGAAGGGAGGTGATCCAGTGTGCAGAGAGCAGGAGGCGATCTGGGGGGGGGAAGGGGAGGCGATCCAGTGCTCAGGGAGCAGAAGGGGATCCCGGGGGAAGGGAGGAAATCCAGTGCATGGTGATCAGGAGGGGATCCCAGGAAAGGGGGATCCAGTGTGCAGGGGGATCCCAGGGAGAAGGGGAGGGGATCCAGTGCTCAGAGGGCAGAAGGGATCCTGGGGGGGGGCGGAGGGGATCCCCAGGGAAAGGGAGGGGATCTAGTGTGCAGGGGGATCCCAGGGGAAAGGGAGGAAATCCGGGGGAGGCGGAGGGAATCCCCAGGGGAAAGGGAGGGGATCCAGTGTGCAGGGGGATCCCAGGGGAAAGGGAGGAAATCCGGGGGGGCCGGAGGGGATCCCCAGGGAAAGGGAGGGGATCCCGGGGGGCCGGAGGAGATCCCCAGGGAAAGGGAGGGGATCAGAAGGGGAGGGGATCCAGTGGGCGGGGGGGATCCGGTGCACGAGCGGCCCACAGCCCCAGGGATCTGGGGCAGCGGAAGCCAGGGAGAGGCGGGCAGGACGGGGGCCAGCAGTGGAGGGACCCGCTGGGGGAAGGAGCCGGGGACCCCGCGGGAGGCGGGGTGGCGCCCCGGGTGCCCCCAGCCCTACCTGCGGGAGGCGATGCGGGGCTCCGGGCTCTGCCTGCAGCGGGCCTGTGTCAGCGGCCGGGACGGGACTGCGGGACCCACCACGCCCGAGCGAGTCACTGCGGCGGGGCGGGCCCTAGAGCCGCCGCCAGAGGCGCCTCCCCGATCCACCGGGGCCCTAGTGCCGCCCGCCTGGCGGAGAGAGAACCCAGGCGTCCTGGCTCCCAGCCCCCTGCCCCCTGCTCTAACCACTTGACCCCACTCCCCTGCCAGAGCTGGGGAAAGAACCCAGGAGTCCTGGCTCCCAGCCCCCGCTGCTCTAACCACTAGATCCCATTCCCCCTCCCCCCAGCTGGGGAAAGAACCCAGGAGTCCTGGCTCCTAGCGCCCTGCCCCCCTGCTCTAACCACTAGATCCCACTCCCCCTCCCAGAGCTGGGGAAAGAACCCAGGAGTCCTGGCTCCCAGCCCCCCCTGCTCTAACCACTAGATCCCATTCTTCCCCCCACCCCCCACCCCCCGAGCTGGGGAAAGAACCCAGGAGCCCTGGCTTAATTCAGTGTAACCATTGTTAGGGTGGATAGATGCCCAAAGCCAAACATACCCCATGCGGGGCTCCAACCCACAACCCCAGAGAAAGACCCATCTGCCTCCATAGCTGAATTAGCCACTCCGGATGGGGTAACTCCCCACAGGCAGCTCTCCCATTAGCCTGAGTAGGATCACAGAGACGCCAGCCAACACAAGTCTGCCCCAGGGACTCCTTAGATGGGGGGCTTAGTGGTTAGTGTTGGGGGAGTGGGATTCAGGACTTCGGGGTTCTATTCCCATGGACAGTGGGATGGAGTTCCAGGGGTCAGGATGCCTGGGTTCTCCTCCCCGCCTGGGCTCTCCTGGTTACAGCAGGGTGCAGCTGGGAAGCAAGATTAGTGGGGCCCAGTTCTCAGCTCCGGGAGGGGAGTGAAGTCTAATGGTTAGATTATTACTGGTATTAGGGTAGCACCTACGAGCCCCAGTTCTGGACAAGGACGTGACCCCCCGTGAGGCGCTCTACAGCAGTGCCCAGGGGGGGTCAGGACCTTGAGGGCTGAGTTCCCTGCAAGCTGATCCCCAGGTAAGCCAATGAGGCTCTGCATGGGCATAGGCCTGCATAGGATCGAGGCCTTTAGGCGGGGGGGGAGACACATGGACATTATCACCCACGCTCAGCGCTTATGTGCCCCGCTGCTCTGCACTGGGGACAGATTCTGCTCCTGGAGTGACTCTGGATTGGCCCAGATGTAAACACCAATCAGAATCCAGCACCCAGACTCAACAGGTTGTGGGTGCATGGGTGGATTTAGCTACATCCTGTTTCTTTAAGGGAGTTAGATCTCCACCCCTTACTCTTCACTCCCCCCCCCCCATCTCTCTTTAGCTGCGGGCAGTTCAACTATGAGGCAGAGTGGAAAAAAAACTCATTGTGGTTTCCCCAGGAAAAGGGGCGTGGGGAGGGAAGCTCCCTGCTCTGAATCAGGTGCCTGGAATGTGAGCCTACAGGGTCTCCCCGCACATCCCTTCCAGGAAGGGTTAATTCAGACTCTGAAAACATGCGAGGATGGGCGAGGAGAGTTGGTTACAATGGGCTGGGTGCTATCACTGGTTTACACCCGCAGGGGAATCTGGCCCCATTGATGCCAATACAGTTAGGTTAATTTCTACCTCTGGGAATTTGGCTTATCGATGCCAATAGACTGATGCCGATTTACTCCGGCTGGAGATCTGGCTTCAGAGCCTTTTCCGGCAGCACAAGTGACCCATTTGCTCCTGGACAGGGCTTTCTGCGGTCCTGCATCGCGTTCCTCCTAGATACACAGTGAGGCTGAGTTTCCGCACGGTCACTGGCACCATGGAGAGTGAGTGGGAAATGCTATGGTGTTAGGTGCAAGGTACTGGAGAACCAGGCCCTGCTGAGGATTGTCCAATGATGATATGATGCTCTTAGACACCAGATCTCAAGGCACTTTGCAAAGGAAGGCACCAGTATCATTATCCTCATTGTACAGCTGGGGAAACTGAGGCAGGGGCCGGGGAAGCGACTTGCCCACCATCACCTGGAGCCCAGCCCAGGTCGGCTGAGTCTCAGTACCATGCCTTGTCCACCAGACCACCTTGCCTAAGGCCCAAAAGGCAAAATTAGCAAAGGCTTAGGTAGCAAATGCTGCTTTGGGGGAGGGGGGTTAATACAGCATCATGCAGCCTGCAGGCGGGGAGAGGGGAGAGACCGGGTGTTTCCATTTAGTGCAGGCAGCTTCAGTTGTAGTTTTCACGGCAGAGCAGGGCACAAGCTTCCCCCCAGGGTGCCCAGCCCGGGGCCTGGGGGCAGTGGCTGTAGGGACCGGTTTATTGGCAATACGGTGAGGTGGCTCAGTGGGGGGCGCTCTCCCCTGGCAGTCAGGGGTGGCTCCAAAGCTTCAAGGTGGGACTCTAGGCCCTGGCCCCTGGATTGGGAGGAGCTCATTTTTCACCCTTCCTCACCCTCCCAGCCCCTAGTATCACAAAGGGGAGGAATTATTTTTTCGCCCCTCCGCCGGGTTGGCACTTTCGCCCCGGTCCCTGCTTCCCGGATGGGGGTGCGGGGACGTTACGCCCCTCCCCGGGATTGGCACTTCCCCGCTCCCCCCGGGACCCTGCTTCCCTGATTAGCAAGGGGGAGGGTGTTTCGCCCCTCCACCGGGTTGGCACTTTCCCCCCGGTCCCTGCTTCCTGGATGGGGGTGCGGGGACGTTACGCCCCTCCCCGGGATTGGCACTTCCCCGCTCCCCCCCCGCCCCCCCGGGACCCTGCTTCCCTGATTAGCAAGGGGGAGGG